CCCCAAACCTCTCCAGAACACACCTAGTATCTCCAGAACCCCCTCAATCACCCCCAGGACCCCACAAAACACCTCCAGCCCCCCCCTCCCCAACTCCCCCACCCCCCTTTGGTGACATGGGTGTCCCCAGAGATCATCGAGAAGGTGACCAAGCCCCCCCCCCTGTGCCGCCCGGCGGTCTCGGCCGACCAGGCCCCCCTGGAGTGCATCCACCTGATGAAGCAGTGCTGGAGCGAGCAGCCCGAGAAGAGACCCACCATCGACCAGGTCTTCGACCAGGTGGGACCAGTATGACCAGTATGGGGTGCTACAAGACAAGTATGGGGTGGTGCAGGACCAGTATGGGGTGGTATGACCAGTATGGGGTGGTACGGGACCAGCAGGGGGTGGTACGGGACCAGTATGGGGTCATACAGGACCAGTATGGAGAGATACAGGAGGTGGGTGGTGGGACCTGGGTGGTGGGATGAGGGTTATGGGGTGTGGTGGAACCAGTATGGGGTGGTGTGAGACCAGTATGGGGTGGTGGGATGGGTCTCTATGGGTCAATAGGGTCAATAGGGGTCAATAGGGTCTCTATGGGATACTATGGGTCTCTATGGGTCAACATGGATCGCTATGGGTCTGTGTGGGTCTCTGTGGGTCAGTATGGGTCAATAAGGATCTCTATGGGTCCCTATGGGTCTTTGTGTGTCCTTATGGGTCAATATGGGTCTCTATGGGTCAATCTACAGGTCACTATGAGTCCCTATGGGTCTCTGTGTGTCCCTGTGGGTCAATATGGGTCTCTGTGGGTCCCTATGGGTCAATCTATGGGTCGATATGGGTCTGTGTGTGTCCCTATGGGTCAATATGAGTCCCTATGCGTCTCTGTGGGTCGCTATGGGTCAATCTATGGGTCAATCTGTGGGTCAATCTGTGGGTCGCTATGGGTCAATGTGGGTCTCCGGGCAGTTCAAGGGCATCAACAAGGGCCGCAGGACCAACATCATCGACTCGATGCTGCGGATGCTGGAACAATATTCCAGCAACCTGGAGGACCTGATCCGGGAGCGCACCGAGGAGCTGGAGATCGAGAAGCAGAAGACAGACAAGCTCCTCACCCAGATGCTGCCCCCGTGGGTCTCCACCCCCCACCCATAGGTTCCATCACCCCATAGATCCCATCACCCCATAGATAGATCTCAGGTCCCTGGAGGAACCATGGCTGAAGGGTTGGGTGGTGCCACCAACCTCTTCTGGTTTCCATGGTGACCACTGAGAGTTGATCATGACCCATCACCTCATGGATCCCATCACCCCACAGATCCCATCAACCCACAGATCCCATCACCCCATAACTCCCAGCACCCCATAACTCCCAGCACCCCATCGATCCCACCCCAGGTCCCTGGAGGAACCACGGCTGAAGCTTTGGGTGGTGCCACCAACCTCCTCTGGGTTCCATGGGGCTGGTGGTGGCCACTGGATGTTGACCATGACCCATCACCCCATAGATCCCAGCACCCCACAGATCCCATCACCCCATAGATCCCATCACCCCATAACTCCCAGCACCCCATAGATCCCACCATAGATCTCAGGTCCCTGGAGGAACCATGGCTGAAGGGTTGGGTGGTGCCACCAACCTTCTCTGGTTTCCATGGTGACCACTGAGAGTTGATCATGACCCATCACCTCATGGATCCCATCACCCCACAGATCCCATCAACCCACAGATCCCATCACCCCATAACTCCCAGCACCCCATAACTCCCAGCACCCCATAACTCCCAGCACCCCATCGATCCCACCCAGGTCCCTGGAGGAACCACGGCTGAAGCTTTGGGTGGTGCCACCAACCTCCTCTGGGTTCCATGGGGCTGGTGGTGGCCACTGGATGTTGACCATGACCCATCACCCCATAGATCCCAGCACCCCACAGATCCCATCACCCCATAGATCCCATCACCCCATAACTCCCAGCACCCCATAGATCCCACCCAGGTCCCTGGAGGAACCACAGTTGAAGCTTTGGTTGGTGCCACCAACCTCCTCTGGGTTCCGTGGGGCAGGAGGTGGCCACTGGGGGGGCAGGTTGAGGTTGCCCAAGGGTCCATCGAAGACCCACACGTTGGTTTCCATTGGGGTGAAGAAGGATCTGGAGACCTTGAAGGCCCCAGAAGCCCTAGGAGGGTGGGGGGGACACGGGTGGTCCCCGCTTGAGCCCGGGTGTCCCACCCCCAGGTCGGTGGCCGAGGCTCTGAAGATGGGGACCCCGGTGGAGCCCGAGTACTTCGAGGAGGTGACCCTCTACTTCAGTGACATCGTGGGCTTCACCACCATCTCGGCCATGAGCGAGCCCATCGAGGTGGTGGATCTTCTCAACGACCTCTACACCCTCTTCGACGCCATCATCGGCTCGCACGACGTCTACAAGGTGCCCGGGGCCACCTCGGGCAGTGGGGGGACCTCCCGGGGGTCTCAGCTCCAACCCGGGGGGGTTGGGGGTCCCTGGGGTCACATCTATCAGGGGGTGGGGCCACCTTGTACCTGAGGTGGCTTTGGTTGTCTTTGTCTGCTGATGTGGGGATGGGGCCACCACGAGAAGACCGCCAAGGTCCTTAGGGATGGCTCTGAGGTGGCCATGGCTCTGGTGGCCACCATCCCGTTGCTTTCCCCACCCCTCCCTTCCAACAGCAGGACAGGCCCACCAACCAAACCCATCTCCATCTCCCCAACCACTTCAAGCCCCCCCACCAGACCCCCACCCTCGCTGGCCACCACCCAACCTGCTCCCACCACCTTCTCCTTGCCCCGCAGCCCACCCACCCAACCTGGGAGAGGGGAGGGGGGAGAAGGTGGTTGGCCTGGGG